TTTTCCTTCCCCTCACCCACACATATTTTTTGCTCTCTGGTCTTCAATACATCCTTTTTCTTTCATTATCCTCTATTTACTCTTACCAAAATCCTCCTCTTTTCCTCTATCAGAGTCCCAGAGAGTGTGACTGATTCAGGATGAATTTTTTCTTCTATTCTTAGTATTCTTGTTTTCATTGAATAACAAGGCCTAGTATGCTTTAAAAGGAAATGATTTACTAATTTGTCATTAGAAATTTTAGAATTGAGGTAGGTTTTGGAGAAGAAAAATTATCAGGTAGATTAGAAAGTAAGAAGTCAACACATAGGTTTGGTTGTTGGGTAGATACTTGCCTTGGTAAGTAAATATAAACTGTGTATGAAAGTTTTAGAGCAGAATTAGAATCAAAGAAGGTTAGTATATTCCTGCTCATGAAGCTTTTAATTTTCATTTATGACACAAGATTTTTATTAGATTTTTAAATAGAACTAATGTCAGTCAGTTATTCATAATTTATATTTTATGCTTTGTAGCACAAAAATTATGCATATATCTAATCACCACTGTTAACATCTCTTTCTAGTTTTTTTTAACTTTTAGTTTTAAAAAATTTGAAGTTTTGCCTGCTGTGGTGTCATAACACTTGGGAGGCTGAGGCATGAGGATCACTGTGAATTCAAGGGCAGCCTAAGCTGCATAGTGACAAAAACAAATGATTTTAATTTTTAAGGTTTTTAAGTGCTCAGATATACAAATGATAAGATAATACATTCTTCTGAAAACTTCAAACAGTACATATGCAGTACCAGATAATAAAACACAGAAGCCTTCCATTTCTCTAGCAAATTTTATATCAGTGGCCAAAGAGATAATTTTTAGGAACCTGGGACTGTAATACCTTAACCTAGTGATGGTGAAACTTTTAGAGATACATACCCAAACTGCAACCTGAAACCCACTTACTTACCTCAAAGTGCCAACACAATATGGCAATTAACTGTGAATACTGAGGTTTTGGCTTAGAAAAAGCAGCCTAACATCTTTTGTCTTAAAAGAAAAATCAACAACATGCATGCCTTAGGTTTGCTACCACTGCCTTAACTTATAAGGCTAACTTTGTGAGGATTTAGACTAAGTTTATACTAGATACACAATCCTTGAGAAACAGTTAAGATATTTTAATTATTTATCATTTGTCCTTGGTTTCCATAATGTCAACTGTCCAGTTAAATTAATCTCTGGATAATTTCATAAAGGACCTTATTTCTCAGATAATAGGGAACTAAAATTAACCATAGCCTCAGAGAAATTGTTTCTGGTTCTGTATGAGGATCTTTTTATAATAAATTTTATTTTACTTTTTATAATTTTCTTTTATTTTGAAGAGTAAAAGCTACAGCAAGAAAATCAAAAGCAAAGATAGAAACAGGGTACATACAACAATACACATGTTACAGATTTTCAAAACAAGAATATCTGACCAAAAGTGATTGATGCAGTATCTATTTTCATCATCAAATCTGTTGTTCAGATTAACAGATATAGTTACACAAGATGGGATATATGATTGAATATTACCACATGCTTCCAAGAAATCTTAAATTTTTGTTATTGTCTCTTTTTTATTACCTTTTTAAAAAATAGTTTAAAGACAGTATAATAATAATTGATATGACATTAGAAATGACACGCATTTAAAAGACCAAGATGACAGGTATTTCAAGCATGGCTTTAGTATTACACATTGCTGTCCTCAATGTAGTTCCTTAGTTCACAGATAACAACATATAAAGGTATAACAGACACAGTTAAATGGAAAGAACTTAAGGATTTAACAGCAAAGAGAGAAAAAGGAGAAAAGTTAGGAAATAAGGTAGGGGCAAAAACATACATGTATATTTACAAGATGGATAAGGCAATAATCCTAGAAATTTCTATCAGGTTTTCGAAAATAGCAGTTAATGGGCAGAATTCTCACTGTGATTGACTCTATATGTATAAGAGGATCTTAAAAGAGTATTGCATTTAGATTCTGTGGAGACAGAAGGTAGTCTACTGTCACCTGAGCCAATAAGAAGCAAAGCAAGTTATGGGGTAGCATTTGTTTTTCTTTTTTGTGACACTAGGGATTGAACTCAGGACCTTGTGCTTGCCAACGCAGGCACTTATGCCGCTGAGCTATACCCTCAGCCCTATGGGGTGGTTTAGAGGTGATACGTGTCCCCTGTGGACGCCAGCACAGGAGTTGGCGGAATTAGTGACAGGCATTGTGATCTCACAGGCACCCTGACATCTATCAGAGAGGTGATCTGTAACAGTCATTATGGACAGTTATGACCCAATACTGTGAGCAGCCCTACCGAGTGGATTTTGTTCCAAGGTACTACCCACTTCCTTGCATAAGCTCTTCTAGTGTTTACTCATTAGCAAAAGATCAGTAGACAGAAATCTTTTTTGATATTTTTTTGTACAAGGGATTGAACTCAGGACCTTGTGCTTGCCAGACAGGCACTTACTCCACTGAGCTATATCCCCAGCTCCAGAAATATTTTCATTAGTTTAGATTTACTTCTCATTAGCCAGTGCTTCATTCTGTATTTTACTTTTATACAATTTATTTTCATTAATACAGTATAAATCTTAATTCAGACAATCTGGATATGTTTAAAAGTTTTCTTTTTCATATGCATGTTACAGCAAATTGACTTTAGTCCTGGAGAAACTGTCAGTTGAGTAATCACTGTGATTTCAAATGGACACAGAGAACAGATACTATATAGATTGGTATTTTTAGGAAGATTTGAAAAAATATATTTTCAACAGTGTCTCTTCCTGTGTTTTTACCCTATACCCAGGCTAGATTGCAGAAGAGTTAACATAGAAAGATGTGTACTTTCCAGTGATTCTCTTTTCTCCTGTTATACAAAGCACACTGATGTCTACACAAAGTTAAAGTACAGAGAATGGAGACCAGTATAGCCAGGCCAAGGAGCGTGACCTTGGTGTTTCTTTGCCTTTCTTTGGGTAGTCCACGCTGTGGCTCACCCTCAGCTGCTGGTCTCCACAACTGAGACCATTTCCACCTAGCAACTTTGGGTTAACTCAAAAGACCATTGTAACACTCAGTACAGAAGGTGCTTTAACATGTTTTCATTAAGCACCGTTTTGTTCAGTATGTGGGAAATGGTTTTTTCATTATAGCTTAAAATGTATTACAGAAAAATGTATTTAAGCACAGCAAGAGTAAAATAATCAAGAATTAGGAATGAATTTTTTTTTCTCCAGTTAGTGGGGCTATTCCTAACTTCTGGAAGCAAGGTTCAATTGTTGCCTGATTTTGGATCATGGCCTTTCATCCCATGAAGTTTGGTGAGTTATGTGCATTTGTCAGGCATCCTTTGAAAAGTTACTTGTTAGGTCCTTTGAAAAGTCAATACAGCAAGAAGCTGGCATTGAGGGTATAGTTTAACTAAAACCTAAGTTTACTGTTAAGGCAAAGTCACTGTTAATAATTAACCCCAGAATTCACACAAAGTGGTATCAGGGGTTGCTTTGAAGGAGGGAAACTTTTTTCCTCCTCAGTGACCATGTATTTCTTAAAGGAACAAGGGATAACTTCCTAGAACAGTCTGCCTTGAAGAGCAGATCAAATGAATAGAATGGGGGGAATGTGTACCTCCTAAAATGCAGTGGCTCAGTCCTCCTTGCTCAAGTCCTTATTTCTCTTATAAAAATAATGATTTCGGATGAATCATTTTTAGCATTTTTCCTTATACATAAAGCAGTGTAGATACTTGTTCCCCAGGCTTTCTTATGCAAGCTTACTTTGAACATGAAGTTTGATATCTTAAGTTTATTGTTACGGCAAAGTCACTGTTAAATTTGATTCCATTTTGATCTCTGTGCTCAAATCTGTCTTTTATGTGGAAGGGCATTAAAGAAATAATGTGTATCAGCTTAATTTCATGAGGGTATCCCCTGGCCCTAGCCAGCTACAGTCATACTTGCCTCAAAGCACTGAGTCTCACTGCTAATTCAGTTCAGAACTGCTGGGAGGCAAGGATGACTGGTTTCCCAGGCTGGGTAGATGTTTTCCATGGTGTTCTACACCGGAAGTACAGCCTGTTATCACCAATGTGCATGTGGGGAGGGCAGGAGCCATGGAAGAGCAGCAGAAAGATGAAAGGCTATTCATTGAGCTTACTTTTCCTTTTTTTTTTTTTTTTTTTGGTAAGCCTCAAGAAACAAACATCAAATAAAGTTCATTGGTACTTCTGTTCCCTGTGCTTCTATTAGTTTATCTTTAGCATGAGACATGGCCAAAATTTATCTTTAATTTATCTTTAATTTGTTTATGTTTAGTGTCCTAAAGTTTTGGAAGATAGCATTTAGTTTGTACTTGTCAGATACTCCTTGGACCCTTACAACATTTCTTGCTGTATTCACCCTAAGGAAGCAAAGAGAAATGATTGTGATGAAGATGGTGGTGGCTGTTATTTTTTGAATTTGGCCTTGAATTAAGGACTCAGCACCAATGTTTACAATTTAGTTCCCCCAATGACATCTTCAAAACAGACAGTAATGATTTTCTATTATTACAGGTAGAAAAACGTTATGAATAGTTAACTCACTAAGTCATTAATTTCTTAAGTGGTGGAGCTAAGATTTGAACTCAGGCAGCTCTGGTAGTATAGCTAATGTCATAATTCTTATGGTTGTTATCTTTTAAAGCTTGGTAATTCTGTTACTTGCAGAAAATATAGCGCTTTCCCAGACTCACCAGACAAAGAGTTTTGGATGTTTCCCATGTGTAGAGTGAGGTTACAAGTTTACAGCTTCTTTATCAGCCTAGATTTTTAAGACTTAAGGAAATTAAGATATTGGTATAATATGTTTCTAAAGGCAGTTGTTATAATTTCAACATAGGTAATAGAGTAGAACTTAAGTAAAAGATGGCTTTCAGGCTGACCTTCTCTAGCCATTCTTCTGGCCAATACACTTGTCCTTCACTGAGGAACTGAGGAGGTGAGTTGGCAGGCTTCTCCACTTGTCAGGCAAGGGCCTCCTGACAATGACAACACTAACATGACATTCAATGAGTATCAGTTATGAGCCATGCCCTAGATTGGATGTTTTCTGCTGTGTAGTCTTTATCAGAGCCACTTTCTAAATGAGCATATAAGGATAGAGGTTAACAATGTTTTGAAGCTTAAATAGCTGGTAGCTAGAACATGAACCCAGGTCTGCCTGATTTATATGCCCAAATTGTTAATCAGGATCTCACTCTGTGCTTTCCATAGGCACACACACATGCAGGTACAAGTGCACACACAGTGACTATTGCTGGGAGTCTCACTGTGGTACTGAACTCTTGTGTTGAACACATACAAGCTCCCGTTGTTATTAAACTTACCCTTTTCAAGTATTTCCTTCTGGAAATGTTCCAACACTATCAACAAATCTAAGAGTAAGTGAAAATATATAGAAGTACATTCACTAGACATTGAAAATTTGATGGCATGATTTATATGTGTTAAGTTTTATTTTCACCCAAGTTTGATTGATGTGTGTGGTTACAGGATTGATCATTTATTTTTGAGTATATATCAAATGTAATTTGTAATTTACTTTGTAATTAACTTTTTGGATTCCTGGTTATTATTGATTATGTAATTTTCTTTGCAAAACTTTATAATTTGGCTATTCTTGATGTGCCTATGCCCCTGAAATACTGTGTGATTTTATGTTTTAATTTCTTCTGCTTTGCTCTGTAAAAAATTTACCTATTATTATTTTTATTATACTCATCCTGTCTTTAAAATATCTTTTTCTTCATTTGGTTTTAATTGACTTGCAGTTTCAATATTTTAGTTTTGAAAAATTCTGAAATTATTTGAATTTCTCATTGTCCAGAACAAAGACAGCTCAGGATGGGACTCATGCTTGGTTTTCTTACATTTCCCAGGTCTAGGAATTACATGGAATTTACAGATTGATCGCATTAGATCTTCTCACTGTATAAACACTTCACATTGGTGCAAAGATGTTTTTGCTAAATGATGTGTAAAATGCATGGATTCTGATTTGTGAATTGTGTATTACTTCATGTACATAATTAATTGCTTCCAGATGCTCTATACCCCTCTCAGGCAGGATGCTCAGTAGTTTATCCTCCTAGTAGTGTGGAGGAGCAAGATGACAGTCATGGATGTTTATTGCATTGAAAGAGATGTTTAAACATTCTGTGGGGATGTCATTCTGGAAAAGTTAGCAGACCAGTTTGAAAAGATGTTGGACATGAGAGTGAGACAACTTTCTATCACTGTCTTTGTCTCAGTTCCTACAAGCATCGGGCTTACATTGTCTTTCTTTAAGGAAAACAAAATTCTACTAATTAAACTATCTGAAAAGTTTGTATATGTTCATTGTAAGACAGAAGGCATCAAATGAAAATTGAAAGTTTGCTTCATCCTCCTCCTTTTATTTATAGTACAGAGTTTAAAAGTTTATCAATTGATGAATAAAACACAGTAGAGCTACCATGCAATTGATGTACCCTGTCTTTTTGTTTCAGACTTAGTCTTTATTTAAGCCATCCCTTTCCCTTCATGTTTTTATTACTGCTGTTTTAAGGCTTTCTCTAATTTCTTTCCTTCCCAGTTTATTCCTATGCCTGTATTATATGGTGTGTTCCTGTACATGGGGGTAGCTTCGCTTAATGGGGTACAGGTAAGTTTCATAGCAATCCAAGCAAGTCATGCCTTTTTAATAGTAATTGCTTAGTAATATATCTTTGAAGAGAAGTACTAATCATTAATGTTTGGTTAAGAAAATACATTTATTTTGTACTTTCTCCACTTTTCACCTGCTTTTCATTTCTATTTTAATCAAGGAAGCTACTAGTATTAGTAAATCTTATTGTAAGTGTCCATTCTTGAACCAGGCTGTTAGCAGTCACTTGAACAGGAAAAGAGAGAGCTATAGTTCTTCTTTTCTATTTTTCTCTCTGGCCAACCCTTTTTCCCTATCATATCTTTCTTCTGGTCTCAGGAAGGACACTTAACATTTTTAGTGTACTGATTGAGATAGTGCTTATCCACTAGCCATAAATCAGACCCACATGTGTAAACATAATATTGTCTCCCTAGTGTAAGAACCTGAAAGAGCAAATAAAATCTGAAAGGTACAATAGACATAGTAAAAGGGAAAGAAACTACTCAAAAGGAGTGAACAATTGGGATGAGGGAAAGGAGAAAAGAAAGGAAAAAAAAAGGAAGATAAAAAATATATATGATAGCCAAGATGATTGTACTATTAATTTCTATCAAACTTTTTTTGTATTTCATATAGAATCTATAGGTTCTCACAAAACAGATCCAACTCACAGGGATTCTCCTGTTGTTAGCCTCAAAAGAGCTGGGATTACAGGTGTACACCACCACACCCAGTCTCAATCGTTGTCTCAGCACGCCCCGGCATGGCACACTGGGGATTGAACCCCGGTCGCAGCATCTGCCTAAGCAGGCACTTTAATCCACTGAGCTATTTGGCCAGCCCTGTATCAGTTTTTTGAAAGCATCAGTTAATGCTTAATTTTTTTATTTTGATCAATTTTACATGCTTATATCTGGTAATCGGAACAACTACTTTGAAGACAACAGTGTGCAAGATAACAACCTCTGTTAAATACCTATCATCTTGGTTTAAAAAATTGTGTATCATTTCTAATGTCTCAGCTATTATTTTTCTATTCTCTTTAAAATGACAAATAAAAATAAAAATAAAATAAATGTAACCTGATAGTACAATAGAGCTTTTTTATCTGCATTTCTCAAGACTGAACTTAGTGATCCAATTTTTCATCAGTGAACAGTTAATGTGAGTTTGGTTTTTATAGTGCTTTTTTGGGAAAACTTCAGTTACAACTTTGGTAAAACTGACCCCTTTTTAAAAATCAAACAGGATAAATTTTTAAGGACTTTGTCTTTCAGTTAAGGTTTAATTTAATTGGCACCAATAAACTGGAAGTTCTGTTGCTTTTTGGCACTTTGTTAATTGCAACCTTATTTAGGATGCAGTAGTGTTTTAATGGCAAAAGACTTCATGTTCTGTGAACATCATAAGAACTTATTTGAACTCCTTCAAAATAGCCCTTGTTTTCATTTATTGAATTTAGGTTAACCTGGTTTTAAAGTCAGATAGAGCTGGGCAAGTAGCCAGACCTCCAAATGAGAAAAGCCTATTTTACTTTTCTCTGTTTGGGTCCATTGAGTAGAGTTCTTAACCACTAGGATATTTGTTACAAAATATAAAGTGGCTTTTCATGGACTGCACTAGATTAATGTACTTGCCAGTTAATTTGTGCTTCTGAGACTTGTAGTAAGTATAAAATTTTAAGACTATCTTTCTTTTATCCCCTTTGTAAATATTTATTTCTTTTAATAAAAAATAGGAACCAAACTAGTAGTCCTTATTTTTATTTGTCCTTTATGGTCCAGTGCAGCTCATAATTTGGGTTCTGTGTATATGTAGGAGCTTTATCAGTGGTTGGAACTCAGTACATTTTGATGGAAGAATCAACCCAATCATAATAACAGAGAAGCAGAAATATGCCTAAGGGATACCTAGCACATTTCTTAAATTCTTCAGCGCTATTGCTCCAATGCCTTTTCACCTTTCCTTACTTTCCTCTTGATTCTTTCTTCTTTAGACTCTTTTGGCAAGATTTATTAAGCAACAAATGTGGTAACTCAATCTTTGTAAATGAGGAGGGTCTACTATACAAGAATAGCTCTTTAGGGGGAAAGAAACTGTCAATAGGGAATCTCTCCAACAGCATTGTCTGTAAGTCTAGTTTACGTTTACACTTCTCCTTTCCCTCCAGAAAGAAAATAGATTTATTTCTAGGTGCTTATAACACAATTAGTCTATTCAACAACTATTTCATGAGCATCCTCTACTGAAATATACTATGGTGGGTTTTTCTATTGCATTACCTTAACCGTTGTTGATGTCACCTCAGCAGCTGTTCTTTGAAGTACAGCACCTAGCCAATAGATGCTTAGCTGTCAGTCCAGTACACATGGATACATGAATATGTGCTGGCCTTTCTCAAATGCAAATATTAAGCTGTAGAGGTGATGAAACTCACTGTAATGCTTATGTGGCTTTCCTTATAAAAGTAAATGGGAAACATGGCAGAGTATATTAAATTATATCATAGATAACTAATGTGGACTCCACAGAACTATCAGTGCATTCCTATTTTTAAGGTGAATACTTCCTGTACATCCTTAGAACATCTCTGAAATGTACACATTGTGTAATATCATCTCTTCTTTCAAATAACATAATGGAGGCAGAGTGAGATGGACATCTTTAGTATAACATGGCTCATATAGACACAAAACCCTCCCTTAAGATTCAGTTACTAAAATTAGAAGCTTGGAGCTGAGCATCTAGAATTTATGTTTAGATTGATGACTTTATTCTTTGGTGACCACATTATTTCATATATTTGCAAAATTATAACAAAAATTAAAAGACTTGTACTATGACCTGACCTTGCTAGGCTGAATTACTGCACTTCTTACCCAGTCCTTGTCCTTTGGAAAGGACGCTGCTTGCTTAAATTACATAAGATAAATCACAATGGTTAGTTGGGTGTGGGGAGTGACTGTGAGTTGGCTTACAAAGGAATGCTTTCTTGCTTTTCCTTCCTAGTTCATGGATCGTCTGAAACTGCTTCTGATGCCCTTGAAGCATCAGCCTGACTTCATCTACCTGCGCCATGTTCCTCTGCGCAGAGTCCACCTGTTCACTTTCCTCCAGGTGTTGTGTCTGGCCCTGCTCTGGATACTTAAGTCAACAGTGGCTGCTATTATCTTTCCAGTCATGGTAGGTGCTCCTTAACTGGACCAGCCAGGAGGCTGTGCTTCTAGCTTGTGGTTACTGAGGGCATCAGACCCAAATCTTTTATGTATGGAATTGTTTCTGGCTTTGACCTCAGCACTTTGGGCAAGTGCAATTCTTTGTTAGTTCGTAGGAGTAGAAACTGAACCTAGGGCCTTACACTAGCTATATTCCTAACCCTTTTTAAATATTTTTAATCCTTGTGCCTGAGCCTCCAAAAGTGCTGGCCTTACAGGTGTGCATGATCAGTTCCACATTTGAACAGTTGCAGTTTTAATTTTTCTGTGTCTGCAGCATGATTCTATAGTTCATCCTAGACAAGCTCATGAATCACTATACTGCCATTAGCTCACCAGTAAGACAGGAATGGCTGCCAGTCTTCTGAGCTTCTACTGTAAGCACCAAGAGAACAGCACATTACCTGACAGAGGTAGATGCCAGAACAGGTTCCATATTTTTAAAATATTGCACAACAGAACCAATCTAAAGAAAGGAAAAGGATATTTAGTTCAAAATAAGAGAAGTGTTTGGAAACTTATGAGAGCTCATCCAGTGTGATTCCTGAAGCTCTGCTGGTTTACTTCATGCCAAGCTTAGGGAAAGACAAAACTCTCCATCTTAGCCGTGGTACCCAGAGGAGTAAGGCCAAGGAACTAACAGCCTCCTCTGAATCAGAAGAAGAACAGGAAGTGTAAGTTTGACCATTACTGACTTTTATACCTTCCCGTAACTCTCCCATTTTTGAAAATAAATCAACATACACTAAAAACAGGTCACAAGGCCTGTGTTTTTCCAGGACTCTTGGAGGCTCAGGCAGGAGGAGCAAATCCATAGAGAAAAGCTGACACCTAGAGAGCTTGATGAGGGTAAGAACAACTGTTTCACATGAGACCAAGCCAGGACTCCGAGAACTTACTGCACACTAATTTTTCTGATGAGCAAAGATACCTTTCATGTACATTCAGAAGTGAAGGAAGGGGATGGATTCCTCTTTAAGGTCAATTTGTAGAACCAAAGGCACAGAGTCAAGAATAGGGATTTTAGAAAACAATGTGGGCCTTTTCTTGCTTTATTTTGGTTTCATAGCCTCTGCTAAAATTGCTAATGTCTGCAATCTGTTTCCTCAGCTGTAAGATGAGATGCCTAGGAGTTTAACATAGTCTCAGGCTCATGGTAAATATTGCTATGGTAGTTGCTGAAAACTCTGTAAGCACAGTGGGTGAAGCACTCTCTAGTATGACCTCATTAAATGTGTCTTAGTGCATGGTGTGGGGCTAGATATTGAAAAACTTTGAAATTTTTGAATCATTAAAAATAAATTTTCATTGGGCCAACGAGATAGCTCAGTGGACTAAACGCTTGCTTAGGTAAGTACAGGGGCCAGGGTTCGATCCCTGGCACCGCATACCATGTTGGCCCCACCCCAGGCACACTGGTGGAGTCTGGGTGTGGTAGTACATGCCTGAAATTCCAACACTAGGAAAGCAGAAAGCAAGAAGATCACTAAGAGTCTGAGCTGCACAGTGAGACCCTGCACACACACACACACACACACACACACACACACACACACACAAACAAAACAAAACAAAACAAAACAAAAAAAAAAAACAAAAAAAAACTAAAAGAAAAAGAAACAAACAAACAAAAAAAAGAAATAATTTTTCAGGCTATTTGCATTTTTTCAGACCTTTACATTTTTAGTTATTCTACCAACAATCTAACATGAAAAATAGCATTTTTCAAAAATAATTGTCATAATAAACTTCAAATTTAATGTTTGTCCATTTCAAAAAACAAAACAAAGTAGGTTTCAACTGAGACTTTATGAAACAACTTTTGCTATGAAGGAAACAATAGTGGTCGACTTAGAATGAGCCCCTCAGTTAGTGAGAGTTCTGTCATGCTCTCACCTCTGGGCCATGGACTTTGCTGAGTCTGAGTGGCCAAGATCCACATTCATTCTGACTGCATCAGAGGTGCTTTATGTTGTTGTTTCTTACCTCCAGATCTTGGCACTTGTAGCTGTCAGAAAAGGTATGGATTACCTCTTCTCCCAGCACGACCTCAGCTTCCTCGATGATGTCATTCCAGAAAAGGACAAGAAAAAGAAGGAGGATGAGAAGAAAAAAAAAAAGAAGAAGGGAAGTTTGGACAGTGACAATGACGATGTAAGGAACCTTCCAAACTTCTCAAGTAAAGCTAAAGAAACAAATGTGAAAAATGTACTTTTTCTTACCTGATATGAAATGGAGGAATGAGTTCCAAGACTATTTGTCTAGTCTTGTGTGACCTACCACATAGTTCTTCTGTTTGCCATTTGTGTTTTCACTTTCCTCCCTAAGGACTTTATAACCATTGATGCACTAAATATGATTTCTAAAATATCATCACTGCACTTGCAGAATTGTAGTCCCAAAGATAGAGAGCAGTTTGCTTAGAAACTATATTGCATTGTTGTCAGTAACAGGTATGTCTCAGTTGCCTTCTCTCATTGCTGGGACAAATACCCAACACTCAAAATGAAGAAAGAAAGGTTTATTTAGCTCACAGTTATTGGAGGCTTCAGTCCATACTCACCTGGCTCCAAGGCAAAGTGGCACATGGCAGAGAGCAACATTTCATGGTGGTGGCAAGGAGCAGAGAGCAAAATGGAGGAGTAGCAGCAGCAATGGCAACAGAGAGCAAGTCTGTCTCTTTTGTTACATTCAGGCTATCTGCCCCAGGCTGGGTGCAATATGCATACTCATAATCCCAGCAACACTCATACCCCTAATCCCAGTGGATCATGAGTTAATCACAAACTCTTGAAGTCCACCCCATGACTGAATGAGGCTTTAGGGGGACAACTAGACACAAACCATAATAAAGTAGTTGAGATAATAACTTGTTTTGTATGACTTTGATTCTAATATAGACACACGCCAATGATTTCATCTCCCAGGCCTTCCTATGAGTCTGCTTGAGCAGGCTCAAACAAAATCATGCTATTAGGTTAGACTGAGCACTGTATTTGTAATATAGTGATTTGTCATTTTCTCTCTGTAACTTGGCAAGAAGTGGTAAAGGTAGTTCAAGGTTGGATGGTTTTTTGTTCTTTTTTTTTTTGTCTGCTTGTTTTTTTTTTTTTTTAACCAAATTAAGGGACAGTATCATCTCCACATGATCCTCTTGAAAGTCAGATGATTAAGTTAAGAAATGATTGACCATTTATTTTTCTTTAGGATGCCGTTCACAGAAATGCAGATGGTCCATTAGGAACCTGTAATCAGTCCTGAGAGAAAAACTAAAATATGTTTTCTTTAACACACACACACACACACACCACACACACACACACACACACACAGTGTGAAAGGATTAACAAAATTATACTTTGCATGTGAAATTGTGTTGAAGATTTTGCACAGTGCAGTATGGCAAATGATTATTGTGTGCTTCATTCCCCATCATAAAGTAGGAATATGGTTAATTTTAGCATCTGTTCTCTGATTGATAGTTTTGTTCACCCATGCCTTATCCTTGGTTATCTATCTTAAAAGCTCCTTATTTTTGCTCCCAGTTTACACTTAGATTTAGACTGAGAAAAGTTAATTTAGTTTTATATTTTTAAAAACTTAAAACTTTTTTCAGTTCTACCGAGGTCTGACAAATAAAATTGTATATATTTAAAATATACACAGTGCTGCTTTGATGTATGTAGTTGTCCTTTGCCTAGATGAACATAGCCATAAGTGGTTGAGCTAAAACTAGAAACCAAGGCTGTGTGCTTCTTTCTATTTTATCAGGCTATCTGATTGTATTCTTTCTGTAGGACTTTGAAATAGCACAGTGAAGGAAGGCAACAGTCAGAATTGGATTTCAGATAAATTGTTTCAATAAGAAGGAGCTAAATATATGAGGCACATTTAGCTAAGGAGGAGAGTCTGAGGAAACTTTTATGACTGTCATTGTCTGTACTTAGCCAGAGGAAGTATATAGATTTTCTGTATCAATAATGATAAAGAAAGAGGGAGCATATTTAAACTGCAGCAGAGATTAATATGTAGGATTAAGAAAAATGATGTGTTTATACATCAAATAGAAATCAAACTTTGAAATACACTTCTGGACTATTCAAAACAAAACAAAACAAAAGTTACTTGAAATATGGATGTGATTAAAACAGTATTTCATTCTGAATTTTCAAAACTGGTACCTCAGTGTATGTCCATGGGCACCAAATTTAAATTTATTACACATTATAAAAATATGAAGTGATATTATGGAATCCTCTGTAATGTCTTTTAGGAAAAAATAGTAATCCTAGGGAATATTTTAAATTTCAGTCATGAAAGATAGATTGTGAGTACCTATATAGTCTTATAGTTCTTAAATATGATTGTCAACAAATTTTATTTTGTATGCTTTATTTTGTGAGTGTTTGCTATTTTCAGCTCTGTATTTCCAGCAGATTTCTTGATGACAATGTGTGATACTTGTTTCTTTTTCCTCTTCTCCACTCCACCCTACCAAAGACAAAGAAAAAAAAAGGCCATTTGTTCTTAGACAGAGAAGCCAGCTGGGCAGTCTGTACGCTGAGTCCTGAGTGTTGGGCTGGTATTTGAAGACTGCCTCTGGAAGCTGACTTTCTCAGTGCTCATGGTCATTTGCTGTGGTGTCTGCAGATATAGGGTGTCACACTAGGATCCCAGGGTTACAGCTCTGTGAGCGAAGTGTGAAGGATGCAGCTTGCCACTCAGTCAATTTTGAGCCTGTCTAGGAGGCTATGTTTGAAGAGTTGATTGTTGACCTGCACATCTATAATTGTTATTATTTTGGGAGTTGTTTGAAGTAAGACATATCATTCTTAGCACTGTCATAAAGCACATGGAACATCTTAATAATTTTTTTCTTTCCGGAAGTTAAAGGGTATTATTTTAGCCCTCTAAAAAGATATTGTAGCTCATTGTCCTTTTCAGACTCCTCATAAAGGAATTTTCCAGTATATTAAATTTGTATTAACAATCTTTTTTGGGGCTGGGCAGATAGCTCAGTGGATTAAAGCACCTGTTTAAACAGACACAGGGACCAGGGTCCCATCCCCAGTGTGCACAGTTTGTGTTGGGTGGTCAATCCTTTAAGAGCACCATTATTAGCAGCCTAGCTTTACCATCTGATTCTGATAATATTACTCTGATTTTCTGAGCATCATAGATATTTTGTTTTGGTTTCATTTTATTGTGTTTTGTTTATGATTTTTAGTCTCTTTGATAAAAGTAAATTGAAATTAACTTTAAATCTTAAAATTATATCTGATTCAGCATTGAAATGAGAGGTTTTCTCCCCCAGGTGCTCATTGATAGTGGAAAAAATTCTTCTATTTGTCCTGAAAGGAAATAAAGGCCATAATTTTCTTGGAGATGGAATTTGAGGGCATAAGAAAATAAGCATTTTAGAATCATATTATATTTTAGGAAGTTTCTTAGATTTAATCTGCTTTCACAAAGAGAATATTTGCTTTACTAGCACAATTTCATGTTTACTGACTGGGAGTTTAACTTGTGGAAAGCTTTCCAATTTAGCTGTATTAATGGCCACAGTATGGCTCTACTTTCAGTGGTCTCAAACCATTAACCCAAAAGACAGAGAAGAAACATGAATGGGAAAAATGTAAAATTTAAAAAGTTGGCACACTGAAAATGATTACATCTCTAGATTTTCTCTTTTCTATGTGAATGATAATAATAAGGTAGATTGTATCAATGCTGTGAAGTAAAAAGGCTGAATAATAAGATAAAACATTCTAAAAACTCTCATACATTTTTTTCACAGTCTGACTGCCCATATTCAGAAAAGGTCCCCAGTATTAAAATCCCAATGGACATCATGGAACAACAACCTTTCCTAAGCGATAGCAAACCCTCCGACAGTGAGTAGAACTAACCTCTTGCCTGCTTGCTCAGTATGATTTGCACTTACAGAAAAATACTTTAGAGCCATCATCTACATTAACTTTTCCTCTATTTTATCTTTGTTTCCTATCCAAAGACTTGTACTTCATTCTTGTCAAATTTTCTTTTTATATTTCTTACAGTTTATTCTTAACTTCTTTTTATCCTTATATAACCTTCACAATTTTTGTTTGACAGTCTTTTCTCTTCCCTAAAGCCATCACCAGTTTTTTTTTTAACTTCTAAATCTGTAACCATGTTTTTAATAGCTTTTTCCATATCCCCTGCTGGTATTTACTTATTTATTTATTTATTTTTATTTTCCTGCTGATACTTAGAATGGCAGCTTATAGTACTACATCACTGTCTGTTACTGTTTGTCTTCCTTAGGTCTCAGTCAATTAGCTCAAAAGACAAATTGCATCATGACTTTCTCAATGATCAGCAAAACAGTTGCCATTATTCAGAATTTAGTGATATTTTCGATTTTAATTGGCAATCTAAAAATAAACACACTTCTTTAGGTGTAACTCATATATGGTTTTTCTTCCTAATTTCTTTGTTTATCTTCTGTTTCATATCCATCACTGTAATGTACAGGTCTTTCTGGGGTCACTGCCTGCTGGCTTCTGTATAGTGGTTTGTGACATGTCCTCCTTTCTTTTGTTTCTGAGTTAACAGGTCCTCCTATTTGTAGCATTAGTGAACAGTTCAAGATTTTCCAATAGCAAGTAGTGACTGCCTCCAAATTATCTTTCACTTTGAATTCATATTTGAGGAAAACAAATTCTTTGTCTGAGGTGCACTTCAAAGGGTACTGATCTGTTACAGGAAAAATGATACTGAAATTTTTAAATTTCTGTTTGACAATGTCATTTCAGTTTCAATAGGAGAAATTACCAAGAGAAGTTTGAAATAAACGACTAATGATGTCATATATTAGTTTTTAATCACTGAGTCACAAATTACCACAGAACACACATGCTTAAAATACCAAGCATACATTTTCTCACATGATTCCTGACAATGAGAAGCTCAGGAGCAGCCTGTTTAGGGAGTCTGGTTCAGAGTCTCTCAAGAGATTGCACTTCAGGCTTTCTTCTGAGACTTAGTCCCTGAAGACTTGATTAGACCTGGGGATGTTTGCAAACTCTCTCACAAGGCCTGGCTGGAGTTCTTGGCTCCTTGGCCTGTGGGCATGTCTGTGGTGTTGCCTGAAATGTGGCATCCCTAAAGCCATGGGTAAGTGAGACAAAAACCAAGATAGAAGCTGCTGCAGTCTACTGCAGTTGACTATTACACATGACAGTTGTACTTCTGCTGCATTCTATCAGCTATAAAAACCAACACTGATGAAATATGGGGAAGAATCACATCAGAGCATAAACACCAGGAGATGGGGCATGGCGAAACCTCTTAGAAACTTGGTGGCACCTGCTTTAAATGAACAAGTGCTCCCCTTGTCATCTGACTTGTTACTGAGCCAGGCTTTCTGCCCACTCTCATAAGAGAAATTGGGTTAGGAATTTCTTGTTTATCTCCAAAACCATGTTCTGATTTCATTCTTCATCACTGGAGAATTAATGGCAAAAGAGGACTGTGACATATGCCTGTGTCTTTGGTTGGTTTCATAGCCTGGTATTCTTTCTAAGGACAATGTAAAGGCTGTCTTGTAAACATTTCCTCAGCCAGCACTTAAAGCTTGTGGTAAGAGTTTGCATCTCAGTTTATTTTTTATTCTCTCAAAAGCCTTGTAAAACTATAGACTAAAAGTTGATGTCATGATGGTCTTTAAAAGAACATAAAGGTCCATAAAAGGACAAAGTTGATCCAAGCAGAGTTGCAATGAAAAAACTTCAAAAGTCCTTTTTCACCTTGAATAATAGCTAGACCATGTTGTGAGTATTCAAAGTGGCAGGAAAGTCAAGAGTGAGCAGCAGATAATGAGAAGATGCTATTACCATAGAAATACTCCTCTGTTGCCCTTCCCACTGGGAGACAGTATCAGTCCATTCCAGGAGAGCCTAAAGTAGAGGAAATGATGTGATTTGGACTGCATCCTTCTACTGAAACTCTTAGCTTTATATTGTATTTATTTAAATTGTCTGCATTGCCTTTCTTACTCTTTTCAGTTGTGAAAGATGCATCCATTTTTGTGCAGATTTTTATTTTCACTCTAATTTTATACTACCTACTACTTTTGACTTAAATTTATTTTCCAGGAGAAAGATCATCAACATTCCTTGAACGCCACACATCATGCTGATAAAATTCCTTTCCTTCAGTCACTTGGCTTGCCAAGGTAAAGGAGGGCACAGTATTTCACCTTGTTCTTGAGATTTCCCCATGTACATGCAGTCAGTGGTGGGCTAGTGATAGAACTCGTTCACTTTTCTTTCTGTGATTTAAAATAAATTATCCAAAGACCAAATTTACCCAGTTCTCACTTAGAAAAAGTCCTTCTCAGAGACCTCCTTGCTCTAGGAAAGATGGCCTCATTCAGTCATTAAACTACAGTCCAGGGCTAACCATAGCTCAGATCCCTTTGACGTTGCCTGATTTCAGGGTAATCATCATTTTCTTTCCTGGTACAGCCAGCCTTTAGTCTCCTTCTCTCTTAACAGAACCTGAGGGTGACAGATTGGATTGGATTCTCAAAAGATTTGGCTCTCTGAATATCTTCACTATGTGGGTGTTTCTCTCCTGTAATTTCAAACAGTATTATCATTTTGTCTTTTGGAGATGTATTTCTGTTATCATTTTTTAAAAACTAGTATAGAATCTTATATCTACCTGAATTTCTTGACTCTTTTAGTATTAAATTAAAACATCTTGCTTTTTAATGCACATGCAGTGAATACTAAAAGAGAATAAATGTTGGTATATTTGAATTCTGTACAATGTGTAAACATTTGATAAAAAATCAGATGTACTTACTATTTTTTTTTCATTTTCATTTGTTTTTCCTCTGCAGTCCTCCCAGAACTCCAGTAAAAGTTGTGCCTCAAATCAGAATAGAAGTTGAGCCTGAAGACAATGATTATTTCTGGAGGAGCAAGGGAACAGAAACTACACTATAACCTATTTGTCTTTCTTACAACTAATGGTTTTGTTGTTTATGTTCTTGTTTTTTCTCTTTTTATCTGTTGTTAATTTTCTAATATTTGTTCTGTTTCAGTTTTTGATCACTGGATAAATAACACAGCACTCTCTCTGCTTCTCTCTTGCATAGGTAAAATCAAAACAGTAGTGCACTGCACCTTAGAAAAGCGTCTGCAGAATCTCTCTTTGTTCTTATGCTCTCAGATGTGTCTTTTGACAACTTAGTTCCCCTGTTACTCAAGACACATGGAGATCCTTGTCCTTTTATTAAGCAGAGGTCAAGAGTATTAAAGATTTTATAAAACTTTTTACTAAAATTCTGAAGGAACTTAACACACTAGCTTTGGAGATGTGCTTACTGGCCTACTTTTGTCTGGTAGAACAAACTCTAACCTCCAGAGTCCCTTCTCCCCTCATAAAGCTCCCCAGGACTGGAAAAAGTGCTGCTATTCTAATTTTCTCTGGCTTGTAAGCCCTAATCATAGTTATCAAAAGAAGAAAAACTAAAGGTACTTTAGTACCTTTACTAAAGTAGAGGTACTAAACATTGCCACCATTGTAGCAAGTGCTGGAATGTCCCTTTTTCCTATGCAACTTTTTTTAACCCTTTAATGAACTTACCTGTTGAGTACTTTGAAGAATATTTTTCTTTCTAGATTTTGTTGTTTAAATTATGGGGCTTAACATGCAACTTATTTTTTGTCAATTTTTAAAACTTTTTTTAATTACTGTAAAAAGAATGAATTTTTCCTGCAGCAGGAAACATAGTTTTAAGTAGTTCTACCTCTTATTTGTAGCTACCAGGCTTTTCTGTAAAAATTGTATTGTATATAATGTGATTTTTGCATATACACCCCCCCACATGCACAAAATCTCTAGGGTAAACCAGAAGGCTACATCAGATTTTAAAAAAATACACCATGTTTCTGAGCATCCATTTTATCCTATTCTCTAGAAGAAATTTAACTTTTTTATGAAGGCACTTGAGAGAGAAGAGAAAAATTCTTACATAAGAGAGTAAATGCTGTTCTGGTAATGATGGCATCTGGATTCAGAGGCTGAGTGTATTACTATGTTACTGCCCTGTGCAGTGTTGTTAGGCATTTTTTCACTTTGAAATATCTGTGGTTATGTATGTGCTCTGTGTGTGGCTGGTGCACATATGGGTTAAGTGAGAAAAAGAGTGACAGTAAACAGAGAACAAACTTATTAAGCCCTGTGTGACAGTTTCTATAAAATACAAACCACATGTGACAATCACATAAAGGGTCCAACAAATATATCCCTATGGAAATGAAGGCAAATATGACTTATTACCTGGCTGGCAGTTATGACCACCAATGTTGTAGCTCATACTGTCAAAAGAAAATCCATAGGAATATTGACAGCTCACTTACACATCCATAAGGTTTTACAGGAGAACAAGGATTCAAGTGAATATATTTTAACAATACTTTCACACAATCTTTGTAATTAGAACATTTAAAACATGTATGTATATTAATTTATATGTATATTTGTTTCAGAGTACCATATTGGAAATTAGACCTTATTAACCAAATTTTGCATGATATTTAAATATAATGTTCTTAATGAGTTATATTATATGTTGAATAGGACAACATTTTAAATGTGGAATCATAATCTTGGATTCATATAACCATAACTGTGATCTGTCCTCAGCCATTGGAGGACCACTAGAAACAGATGAAACCACTCATTTTGGCATACTTACTGACTCCACTCATTCTTACATTAATTACATTGTAATTTTGCCCTCTTAATGTTAATTTAAAAATTTTTTTATCCTATTTTGTAATATCTCAAAACTTTTAATTTTATAAAAATTAGACAAAAATGATCTTAATTTTTAAAGTGACAGTGGTAAACTGTGCATTCTAAAATTTCACTTGCCAAATTTTGGCATATTTGCACATAGATCTATCTTCGAAACAATTATTCTGTGTTATCTAGTTTTATTTTACCCTAAAAGAACTATATAGGAAAGTGTACCCTTTCTGTTTACTGATTGAAGTATCCACAGATTGTTTAATAATCATAAAATTAGTTTAATGAAGATATTGTTAAGTCTAAGGCACTTTTGCTTATTTCTTATACAAGATATGTGTGTTTGTGTGTGTATGTGTGTGTGTGTGTTTTCTGTAACAAAAAATCAAGTATTTGGAGAATTATACTCCTTTCCATACCAGTCAAAGAGCTGCTGAAACAGTTTGGCCCCTCATTGGAGCCTTTGAGCAGATTGAAGGCTATCTGCAGGCCCACTGTGAGCCAGGTAATGTCACTCTGGGAGAATGCCAGGTATTTATGTTGTAAACACAAAAGAATATCTTACATTTGCTACAACAAACCCTTTCAACATTGTGGAATCCAGAAAATAATTGTTTTTTTAAAAAATCATTACTTTTAGAGGAACAGAGGTAGTTACCACACTGACAAACAAAATCAATGTTCATGGAAAGCCAACAGATTACCTGTATTCTAACTGAATTTACAGGTTAGATAAGAAGTAATCAACTGAACACAAGTATAACAGGAATTCTTAACAACATACTTCTCTATTTTTTTGCTCTGATGTGCATCTTGGAGATAAATGATCAATTTTCTTGAGGAATAGAATAAGTACACTCAGAGCTGTTACCCAGGATTCCTGGCGCTGTAGGAACTGACTGGTGGGGAAAGTCTGCCTATGAAAAGAGCATTAATTCTTCTGGTTTTGCATTTAAGAGAAAATCTATAGAATATACTGTTTTCCTTGAGAAATTCACTTTTGTCTGCTATGTGTATGTAACTACTTGAAATCCTAATTATTTCATATGCCATAAGCAGTATTGTTCCTGCTTCTTCTTCCAGTCAAAGTTGAAGAGAGGTTGTGTAGGAGCCTTACTGACTTGAGAAGCAGGAGCAAAAACTTTCCTCTTCAGCCCTACAGCTCAAGGAATGGGGAAAATTATCTGTTGTCAGTAATCCAATTTTTGTGAATTTTATGCACATATAACAACACACACACAGAGTGACTTTTATCAGCTATATATTGATGTCTAATATGGAGAATGATTGTCTTCCAAGTTTTTGTTGTTTGTTTTTAACTGTGTGTTAAAGTACTTGAAATGTATTGACTGCTGACTATCTGTCAAAATCAAAATATTTGAGTTGTATTACAGAGGTTGACATTGTTCAGGGATGGGACAGTGTTCTTCAGTCTTTTTCATACCACTTATGTGATTTTGGTGTAGGAACCTGAGATTTTCTTATTTATGTTCCATGATGGCTCACATTGTCTCTCACACTGTGAAATGGGGACCTATTGACTGAGTACAACCAAACAATGATAGCATTTCTCTCAGTGGTTAGGGGAATGTTTGAATGATGACTTCACTGAGCACATTTGCAGCTGGAAATCTTTTAAAAAACCCCAAAAAACAGCTTATAATATATGCTGATCAGTCAAGTTCTGTTTTGACCAGAGATTTGGATGTATCTTATTTCTTGGCTCATTTACTTGTGCTCTGGGGGTACATGCAAAAAATTCTAAATTTTGTTTCTTAGGTGAACACTGAAACTCAGGGTTGAAGTCACCTAGTGAACTTTTAAAGCCAGAAGTAACTTTGTCCCAGTCCTATAATGTGACAAGAATGAACAGCTGCCTCTTGTAGCCATTTTCATGGCTGGTACATATCCATACAAATTACTTTTCAGAATCAAATGCACTTTCAAATATTCTTATTTTATTCTCTTAAGTCTTTATTAACTTTGGAGAAATGATGCATCTTTTTATTTTAAATGAAGTAGATCAACATGGTGGAACAAAATGATAAAGAACAGAAAACATTTCAATATATCACTAGTAATTTTTTCCAATATAAAACCTTAAATTCCTATAACATTATAGTATTTTACAGTTTTATGAAGCTTTCTATTGTGAATTTTATGGAATTAAAAGATGAAGAAGATGAGATATTTTAGCATTTATATTTTTCAAAATTAAATGTGTACTTAAAATAAAGTAACTTTATGCATTTATGAGTGTCACGTGCTTCTGTTCCATGCTTCACCTCACTGTTAAATACTTCTTAGTCTATTCTTTTGGTAGCTACAGTGATGAGCACATAGATGAGTAAGCCAGAATCTCAGTGCTCAGATCACTTTAATTTCTCCAGGCAAGAGGATAAAGGAAGTAGCCAGATTTCATAAGAGATTATTAAGATTTATTTATTTAATAGATTGTAATGAAATTATCTCATTTAAGGGTTCTCATAAAAAAGATATAGGAGATCTCATAAAAGTAAGAAAAATGTTCTCAATTAAGAATAATGGGAGTGGTTTTATGAGAAGAAATATTGTCATTTTTCATATAAGATTAGTGAAACACAAAATACAGTTGTCTTACATCCCGGATGATGTGTATAGTCAATTCTCAAAGTGAACAAAAATGTGAAAAAGCATGACACAGCAAAAATTGCTCAAATGAACAAAATCTCAGAAGAGTCTTCCATCCAGAAATAATTTTCATAAGACTTATCTAATATCTAAAATTTTCCAAAAACTTATTCCTAAATAGTAATTAGAAAATGGTGCTGCTGGTTAGTGGAGCAAACAGAAGAGAAGAGAAATAATCATTGGTGATAGTGAAAAAAGTAAGACAGCAACATTAGCTAAAACAATATTTTCACCCAGAAACTTAATATATAGGCAGATTCTCTGAGTATGTGGGTATCGGTGGTGGTGATGCTAATGGATTGGATTTTATCATTGAGTTGGGATGAACAGTAGAAGCCACACACAGAATAGATCTTATGGGAAAGTTTGATGAATTCTTCAATATACCACACAGAGCTTGTTAAATATTACCATACATGAAAACAACTGAATAAAGAAATTAGGATCAAATATATTTAGTATATTATTATCAACCTAAGATAAAAAGATCTTCCCCAAAGAATAATATTTATTTGGGAATAATAAAATATTGCAGTGGGAACGTGTGTCATCATAAACTGAGTGCCTTCCAAGTGGAGTTAAAGGCCAATATTTAAGGACAAAAGAACAATAACTTACAATATTTTTGAGCAGTAATTCTCACGAGGTTTGCTAACAAGAATACACCAGTTTGAAGTTGAATATCAGTTCCTGAAGAATGAAAGAAGCATTTTTTGGAATAAAGGCATGACAGCGTTTGAGCAAGGTTGTGGTTCTGCTAGAATGTCATAGTTGATTATTCTCATTGCTGAGACAAAATACCCAACATCTAAAGTTAAAGAAGGGTTTATTTCAGCTCACAGCTTGTAGAGATTGCACTCTGGCTCTGAGGCAGAATGTGCACCAGAAATGCACCACTGAGACAGTTAATGGTGTGGTAGGCAGAAGGCAGTGAAGCAGCAAGCAGCAGCAGTGGCAAGCCTGCTTTCCTACCCCCTTTATACTCCATCCATGATTTAACCCTATTAGTTGGCACGCAGGGTGGAAGGGTACTGCGGAGTGTTGGGGGTTGGCACAAGAGGATGGAAGAGGGTCTCACCTATGCTGCACCCAGGCTGGGACTGGTAGGTCCGGCCAGCACAGGGTAGCTGGAAGCTCTCCCACAAACTCATCCTTCCTGGGCTAGGACTTGCAGTTATGTCTTCATCTTCTAATCAACACTCCACAGCACCCTTCCACCCTGTCTGCCAAGTGAGAATTTCTGCCGCGTTCTGGGGACCCCAAGATCCAGGCCTGGGGGTCCCCAGAACGCGGGTCCCCAGAACGCTTCCTCTCAAACTTACTTCACCTTGTCCCCTCCAGACTCAGCTCAGGCCTGGCATTCAGGCCTGAGGTGAAACCCTGCAGGTGCAATCCCTGCAGAGAGAGTAGGGGACAGAACCACCCAGCTAGACTAGGAACAGAACATCTTGCCACAGGAGGACAAAAGGTTCACTCCCAAGGGCAGTAGAAAGAATAAACTGGGCACAGCAGCCAGATCCAAGCCAGGCACAGCTGAATAAATCCAAATTTCATAGATCTGAACCAGAACTTCAGTAGGTGCTAGGATTATAACTGTACCAAAGATCTACCAAAAAGGTCAGAAGACAGTGCTACACAAAATGCCAATGAGAAGGAGAAAAATGCAATGCCAGAATCCAAGACCACCCATAAGAAGTGCAGAGGACACTAACACAGAATTAATTGGGAATCACAGCGCTGAAATCAACGAATCAATGGCTTCAATAATAAAGAAATAAAGAAACAGCTGCAGAAAGGCATAAAGGAACTCAGATTGGAAATGAAAAAAGAAATCCCTGAAATAATAACATCTGCAGTAAAGAATCAAATGCACCAACTAAATAGGGCAAGCAATTAAACACAGGAGAAAAAGGAGTAAATGACAACAGGTAAATAACATGTCAATTGTAAGTCAATACATCTAAATTCTAACCATAAATGTAAATGGAATCAATTCACAAGTTAAGAGAAATAGACTGGTACAGTGGATTAGGAAACAAAATCCAACAATATGCTGTATACAAGACACACATTTAACTCATAAAGACATTCATAAGTGGAAAGTCAAAGGATGGAACACAATACTACATGCCCAGGCACTTCAGAAAAAAGCAGGGGTAGCAATCCTATTCTCAGGCAGTCTCAACTTCAAACCAACAATGATCAAGTGAAATAAAGAAGGACACTATATACTGGTTAGGGGAAAAATTCAGGAGGAAGAGGTAACACTCATAAATATGTATGCACCAAACATGGGAGCATGCAACTATATAAAGCAAATCTTAATGGACATGAAAAATCTAATATGCAATACTACAATTTAAACAGGAGACCTTAACACCCCCTTATCTCCAAAAGATAGGTCAACCAGAAAAAATCTTAGCAAAGAAATAACAGAACTGAACCAGAGCTTGAAAAAAATGGACTTGGTGGACATATACAGACTGTTCCAAACAAAAACAGCTGAATACACATTTTTCTCAGATGCACATGGGTTATCATCTAAAATAGACCACATACTGGTCCATAGGTCATGCTTAAAATTCATGTAAGAAAGCAGAAATTATCCCATGCACATTATCTGACCATAGTGCAATGAAACTGGAAATAAATGACAAAAGAAACCAGAGAAAAACATTACACAGAAATTAAATGAGACCTTACTCAGCAACCAAGGGGTCATAGATGAAATTAAACAAAAAATTCAACAATATCTACAATTCAATGAAAATTCAAGCACAACTTATCGTAATTTATGGGATACAAAGAAAGCAGTTCTTGGAGGGAAATTCATAGCTGTGAACTCACACATTAGGAAAACAGAACCAGAACAAATGAATGCCCTAATAAGACACCTTCAACAACTAGAAAAGGAAGAGCAAACCAAACCCAGAGGCCAAAATGGGAGGAAATCATAAAGATTGAGACGAAGAAAACACTTCAAAGTATTAAGAAAGAAAAAATCTGGTTTTTTGAAAGATTAAATAAAATCGATAAACCCCTAGCTAACCTCATCAAAAAGAGGAAAGAAAAAATTCAAATACAAGCAATAAGGAATGAAAAGGGTATAATTACCACAGAACGAGTGGAAATTCAGAAGATCATAAATAGTTACTTTGATAATCTTTCCTCTCATCGAATAAAAGACACAGAAGAAATGGACAGATTCTTAGAAAGGTACAAATAACCAAAAATGAATCGACAAGATATAACCACTCTCAATAGCACAATAACAGCCAATGAAATACGAGATGTAATTAAAAACCTACCGACAAAGAAAAGTCCAGGTCCGGATGGATTCACAGCTGAATTCTACAAGACATTTACAGAAGATGCAGTCCCTATACTCCTCAAACTTTTCCATGAAATTGAAAAGGAAGCAATCCTCCCAAAATCATTCCTGGAGGCAAGTATTATACAGATAGCAAAACCAGGAAAAGACGCAACTAAGAAAGAGAACTACAGGCCCATCTCCCTCATGAACATAGATGCCAAAATCCTCAATAAAATACTAGCAATTAGAATTAAGCAAATCATCAAGAAGATCATACACCATGACCCAGTACGATTCATCCCAAGGATGCAAGGATGGTTCAATATTCGAAAATGTATAAATGTAATACACTATATCAATAGAGCGAAAACTAAAAACCACATGATCATCTCCATTGATGTAGAAAAGGCTTTTCACAAAGTCCAATGCTCATTCTGTTCAAAGTCTTACAGAAAATTGGAATACATGGCCTCTACTTCAATCTGGTAAAAGCCATTTATGAAAGCCCAATGGCTACCATATCCTAAATGGGGAAAAACTGAAATCTTTTACTCTTAGATCTGGTACAAGACAAGAATGTCCTCTATCACCTCTCCTATTCAATATAGTTCTTGAATCATTAGCTACAGCCATTAGACAAGAGAAAGAAATA